ATCTTCACGGGCCTCGCCGGCGAACCGCCAGCCCTCGTTCCGGCGCTCCTCCACCCTGGGCTTCCTGCTTCCCGCTTCTTGGCTTTCGGAGGTCCATAGCGATTCTAGCGATGATAGGGCGCTCAGAGCTCGCCCCGCCCACGGCGTACGCCTCAAGGCGCCCGAGGCTCCAGCGGGTCCCCGCACTTCCGGTTCCCGGCAGCCTGCTCGCTCGGGGGCCCGGGAGCGCCCCCTGCCGGCAGCTCGCGTGGCCTGCGCCCCCGCCCGCGAGCCAGAACTGCCGGGCTGATGGCAACCGCCGGCTCCGCTGTCCCGGGTCCTGACAAAGTCTCTCCTTGACCAACTCAGGTCAGGCACCTCTGAACTCTTGTCAACTAGGCCCTGACTTTTGGACTTCCGTGTGCATCTCCACATTGTTCATTTTTAGCAAGAATACTGCTAAGTTGGTTTAGCCAGAGCCCACTCACCCTCCGTATCCGATCCTCAGCCACCACCATCCCCCAGGTGATGTCTGATCACTCCGCCTGCCCTTAACAAGAATCCTATGAGGCCAATTTAGCCAGAATCTCCCCTTACACCTGATGTTTCCTCTTAATAATTATCCATCCACTGAGCCTACTCTGCCACTTTTGCTTATATTGGGAGTTGAACCCCCACTGCAAAAACTTAATTAGTAGCCCCCATGAATAAAGTTCGTCTTACCATTCTTTAACAAGAGTCACGAATAATTTTAATTTTTTTTAACAGTCTCCAAATGTGGCTCCATTTGATGCTTACTGGTTCGACTTTGTTAAAGTGTCAATTCCCAAGCCCTTTGAACCAGAAATTAGGGTGAGGGGAGGAGGGGGATATGCATTTTTGAAAGCTCTGCTGGGAAAGGGAAGAGCAGGAAGGGGATTCCCAGAGGACTCAGTTCAACACTCCCTGCTGGAGGCATGCACCCCCCAGGAAGGAGGGGTAGAGCCCCTAGGGTGCAGGAAGAGAAGTTAGACTTTACATTTGTGATCTTGAAAGTAGGTGTTACTGGTAGTACTCAAATTGGCCACCAGGGTGTTCCCTCTGCAAACAGGGCTGCTCCACAAAGCTGCCCAGGTGTCCTCGCTGATTTGCTTTCAGCCCAATGCTGAGAGCTGCAGTTTACATGTGGAACTGGCACCTAATTTTACTTAAAATCACACAGCTTGAAGTAGCCTAAAAGGCAGAGAAACCTTTTAGTGAAGTCATAGACACAACTAAAACGCAAGCACAAGCAGTCACAGGTGAACTTCTCACTACATTTTTGAGGCAAAAGGGTGAATGGAACCAACAATCTGCCCCCAAAATGTGAGATTTGAAATGCGATTTACAAGTTGAGTTACTAATAAAATAGCTACTCTCCATGTACTAGAGGTGCAGGATAGAGGAGAATCATCCAGTTTGGAAACCCTGACTCCAGAGCCAGGAGGTCTCGCTCCAACTGTGTGGTGCCTTTGGTTTCTCCAAAGCACTTTCACCCCATACTAATCCTCAGTCCTAGAGAAATAGGCTGGCCCGGAATGTTTAAATCAATCAAGGTTTAAGGAGCTAAATCAATGGTTTCAAGTCACAAAGCCAACCTGCTGTGCATTAGGGTCCTTTAAGTTCGGGTTGAACCTGGGCTTTAACTCCAGCCTCTTCAGGAGGCCAACCCACCTGGGCAGGACCTGCTTCTCTGGTTCCATAAGGGTTCCAGAATCACTGAGCTCTAGGATCCTCCACTCCCACAATCTGTGAGCCAGGATAAGCCCAAGTCTGATTGGTAGAGATGCATTATTTTGTGAATAAAGGAACAGGGAACACTTGCTATTATTAGTAGAACCATGTCCTCCGCCTTTTTCTCCTTAAAAACTTCTTCCTATAGCCAGGTAAAAAAATGGGGTCTTAGGAACACCTGGGTCTACCTAAAAAGCTTTGTGAAAGCCCAGGTAGGGATAAGAAACCATAGTTGTGTGATTTGAATGGGTTGGAATGAATTCCCAAAGCATTTGAATGATGAACTCAGGGCATGTGAGGTCTTGGCACAGAAGCTGGCAAGCTCAGCTAGGTCCCCAGGACAGTGATGGGAAATGCACAGCCCAGCCCAGAACCACGTAATGGGCATGTGGGCTCTGAAGCTCTGAACCTGAGGCTGGACTGACTTAATGGTTTTCTTCTCGTTGCCCTTGCCCAAGCTAGTGGAGGAGTCTTGCTGGGGTTTGGGGTAGATGCCAAGCAGGTATTTCGAAGGAGTGGTAGATTTCAGTTTTGACATGCTTTATTGGAGGATGTGAGTTGACCTTGGAGGAGCATGGGGTAGGACAAGGAGAAAAACCCAGGATGAAGGCACGCTGACAGGCACTCAGGATGGGGTGGAGGTCAGATAGACAGGCCAGGAGCAGGCAGGGTGGCCGGCAGTACATATTGAACTTGCTAATTTCAAAGGGTCAGCGGTTAATGGTGTTTTGGTTTTGTGTTTTAAGGCAGCTTCAAAAGTGATGTAGAACCCCACCTTCCCACTCTCATCCCTCCTGGTGGAACCTCTATCACATCAGCTATGAGCCAATCTCAAAACGAAAGGGAGATGCAGACCCAGCCCAGAGCATAACGGAAAGGAGAGAGGAGACAGCTTTTCAAGTGTTGTTTTTCTGCAAACCTTAGAGACATTTCAGCAAACTGTGGAGACTGTATTGAGGATAGAATGGGCAATGAGATAGAAACTTTGAATCAGAGAGGAAAAGTTACAAAAAATATTGAATTCTCTCAGATGAAACACATGACCACTTTTCAAACGTCCTACAAAATCACTGGGGGAAATAAAAAGAGATTGTTCTTTCAATGTATTAGACGGGAAAAATTGTAAATGGAAAAATCTTGGGTTTGTTCATTTGAAGGAGGATTACCAGGTGGAAATGGGTAAAAACGTGTAAGTAACTACTTATCACTAAGTCCCTGGTGTTTTCTCATAATTAAGCCACATAAATACCTCCCTACTTCCCTTTCAACTCACAGCAGACTGGAGCCAAAGCCTTAGTACCACTCTTCATGGTATTCCAAAAGTAGGTAACTGGGAGCACCCCTCATCGGACCTGCACCCCGGATCTGGCTGGAGCCCAAAGAGCCTCTGCAACAACTATTCCAAGCAGTTCAGTGACAAGGCTGCACCTGTCAAGTGTCAGGGAGCTTGAGGTCCAGGCCTGAAATCCCAACACGAGGCTTATGGGCAGAGGACATGCATCTCCACCTCGGATGGAAATGCAAGCGGGTTAGATCTCATTCCTCCCCACCCTGTGAGGGCATCTGCCTCTTCAATGTCCCACTCCAGCCAGGGAGCAGAGGGCCAGGCTGAACCCCAAGTTCCAGGCTCAGCTCTTGGCCAGAGTGCTCCTGTCCTCTGGTTGTTCACCAGCAGAGGGCGCGAGTGATTGGCTCTGTTCAAACTCAAGGCTGTGAAGTTGAAAGAACCGGAGGAACCACCATGACAGGTACTGGGAAACCTCAGCCACCCGGATACAGAAGCTTCAGACCCTGCCCTTGTCCTGAGAGGCTTCTGTAATCCGAGCTGCCAACTCTCAGGGAAAAGAAGACATTAGAGCATCCTTGACAGGAGCCCAAAGAAACAGAACAGCACAGACCTTAGTTAGCCAGGGGGACGGTAGAGAGAGGACGTCCTACCTCTACAGCAAACCAACGAGCAAGCCTCTGATAAAGCTCAGCCCCACACGGGGAGGTGAGAGCTTGGGTTTGGGCCTAAGCTCACGGTGACCACGGCCAGGACAAAGGGTGAAGGGAGACACTCTGCTGCACACACACATTCCAGAAAGAGACACCAGGTGACCACAAGAGCATTCTTTTTTTAAAAAAGAAAACAGCAAATATATACAAAATACTTTCAATCTCTTCTGGGCCAGCAGAGCAGCCATCACACACTCCTCCTGTTTCCTGAGCCTTCCTCCAGTGTGTGGAGCATGCTCCTGCCAGGGCCCAGCGTGCTGGGATCTGGGGAACAAGGGCCACCACTGCACATGGCTCCTGCTTCAGCCACGGCTGCTGGCCAGTGCCTGAGGCCATGGAAGGCTCTCCCTGAAGATCCCCAACCCTGGCAGGAGCCGGGGATGGAGCGTCCCATCTTTCTGTCTCGTCTCTCCCCGCCCCAGGATAATACTGCTTCTGTGGGTGCCCCTCAGGGCAGGTCCCTCAGAGTTTATGGGCCAGCAGGGTGGTCAGCTTGATCTTGCCATCCATGGAGGCAGTGAGGCAGGTCCCGCAGTCCATGGCCGTGCTCCAGTCCACGGTGACCACAGGGGCACGGTGGCCACCCAGGCTCAAACAGCTCTCCAGAACTTTCTCATCCCCACACAGCTGCAGGAGGACAGGAGAGAGGAGGCAGCATCATCAGGCACTGCGCACAAACACATCTACTTTAACCACTTTCCGTGGCCAAGCTGCCTCGAGCCTGGGGGCTGCGACCCCAAGCTGAGCACACACCCCAGACACACATGCCCACCTGTCCAGAAAGCCTCAGGTTCATTGCTTGGACCAGGAAATACCTTCGTTTTCCCAACTATAGTTACTTCTTCAACTAAAGTGGAGAACAAATCCCTAATATGGTCTGAAAGACAGAATTTTCTCTGTCACCTTTAACTCGCCATGGGCCACGCCTCCTGCCAGTGCCCCGGTGTTCTCTTCCAGCACCATTTACCACTCCCACGTCATATCCCGTCTCTGCCTCTCTGCTTTATGCCTGTCTCCCTCAGGAAGGCACTGGCCGTCCAGGGCTCATTTGTGTGTACAGGTGTGAGGGGTTGGAAAGGAATAAGGAAGGGGAACCGGGAGCAGACTGAACATCAATCCAGCTACACGGAACATCCGTGAGCAAGAGAGGAAGTATTCAGCCTTCGTGGAGAACACGTCTTTAAAAATCATAAATTGTTTACAGGCTTTAAAAATGGGATCTGAAGGTCATTATGTTCCTCAAGTAATTAGACCCCATTACTGACATTTTTTAAATGATACAGAGGGAAATCTTTCAACCCGTTAACTGGTTATAGAGCAAGTCCGACTGCAAACCATATGAACTGATCAGGACAAATGATAAAGACTGCATGATTAAAAATAAAACAATACACACCCAACACACTTAATCATACAGAGAGCAAAGTATGGTCCACCTGAATCTTCAAATAATAAAAGAAATTAAAGCTTGTAAACAAAGCTTTTTACAGTATCTCTCAATAGCAATTAAAGAAATTATGAAGCTTTGTATGAAACCATCACATTGTAACTCCTTAAATATACACAATTTCTGTCACTTGTACCTCAATAAACCTTAAAAAAGATTTTTAAAATATATATTTAAATAAACAAGTAAATAAAAATAAACTATGGAGTGAATTTTGAAGGAGAGGACAAAAGCCACCCAAATCATCTTCACCTGTGGAGAAGTGGGGCCTCAGTAAACCCAGCCTCCTAGCACCACACTCAACAGTCCGGAAGGCTCCTTACTTCTCACCTCAGCCACCCCTCCCCCCTCCCCCCTCCCCCCACCATGTGCTCTCACTCCCCTCTGCCCGGGGCCCCAAGGCCTGCCTGCCTCCCAACTCCTTCAAAGGCTTCAAATGCACGGCCCGCCCCCATTCTCCCTGAGGACTCCGTCCCCACCCAGCTTCCTCCCCTTAGAACCCTCAACCCTGTACTGTCCTCACTGTTGGTGCCTGTGCCTCTTTCTAAAGTGAGTGTGAGCCCCAGGAGAGCAGGGTCTCCCGTGCCCACTGCACAGGGCCGAGGCCGCGCCCACGCACAGCTGCTGTCCACAGACTAAACACCAAAGAGCTAACCCTGAGGCTAAGAACTGAATTCACTTGGAAGCAGAAATATGTGCTTAGGCCACAACACAAATCCTCCCTGCTAGCCTGTCAGACAACACTAGCAAAATAGGAGACGTTTATAATTTCATACAATTATATATTTTTTAAAAGTACATGAACCAGACAGTGTGACATGAGAATTAAAATAAGCAGATAAACTGAGGGGCAAAACAGTGGACAACTTACATCCCCTGTGACAAATCACACGTGCAGATCTGTCCCAGCCATGGACTGTAACGTCCTCGATCCACAGGCCCTCCCGTGAAACACAACTCTGCACCAGGTTAGAGTAACCTAAGCACTCACCTGTGTGGGGTGTGTTCCCCTAAACCGACACACAGCCTTCTCCCTAGTTCTCGATGTTTTCTATAACTGGCATTATTCCCAAGGAATGGAGGCAGAAAAGGGGCAGATTCTTGTTGGAGGACAGTGAACGGATGAGCGGTGAGGAGGATGGGCATGTCACACTTGTCCCCACTCCCACCTGCTCTCTCGAGCTGGACTGCAGCCAGGAGGCCCAGGCACTGTCGTCCTGGGTCAAAGGCTTCTCCACAGCCCTCGGGCAGGGACAGACACAAGGATGGGGACAGACGCCTGACTTCAGCCGGGCCCAGACCTCTGGGGAGGAACCTCCCTGCCACCACCACGCCCCAGGTACCTTGTAGATGACTCCCCCTGTGGCAGAACACGTCAGCATGTAGTTTCCCTCCGAGTCAAAGGCGAAGAGTCGGCCCCGGGGGACCTGAACCTGCTTGTAGCCGCTGTACCCGGACAGCACAAAGGGGCCCGTGGCGTCCGCAGGGAGGCTGTACTCAGACACCTTCAGGCCACTCTTGTGGATGTTCCACTGGATGAACTGCAACCACAAGGCATGAGTGCAGCGTGCTCAGCGGGGCTGGGCCACCGCCCGCCAGGCGCAGGGTCGGGGAGGAGGAGCGAGGCCGGACCCCGGGGAGGAGGGCCTGGGTCCACAGGCCCCAGGAAAGGTAGTGGGATCACCCCCAGTCCCAACTCTTCCCAACACAATTTAAGCATTTTTTTAGGGAAGAAAACCTAGAAAAAGAGTCAGCAACCTAGGTCAAAGTCTGAACTTTCTCTCTGGCCTGACTCCAGAGGAGGAAAAGGGTCGGCTACTGACTTCGCCTGGACTCCCATCTGTCAAGCAGGGGCAATGCTCCCGTGACCATTACTACTACTGCTGTTGTTGTTATTATTACAATTATTATTAGGGTTAGAACCCAACTAAATTTTTCTTAAAAATAGGACAAATTCCAAATATCCTTCCAGTTTCTCAGCAGTGCAATCAACTACCACGAGCAACGGTGTGTCAGCTGAGCTTCGGTGCCAGAGCGCACAGCCCCGGAGCCCACCCCAGGCACAGGCGGCCCAAGAGTCCTACTCAAATAAATAAGAAGTCAAGCTTTGATTTCAAAATCCCTTCTTACAGTTTTCAAATGAAGAATTCATTTGGTAATGACTGTCTTTGATGGCTAACACAGGTGAATAGCATACAATCCAGAAAGTCCCAGCGGGTATACATGCAAAGCAAGTCTTTCTCCCACCTCTGCCTGCCCCAGCCCCCTTTCCAAGTATCCTAACGAATCATTCCAGAGAGAATCTAAACGAGGAAACCTATTTTTACTTTCTTCCTCAGCTTCCTTTTTACATTTCTTGACTCTGCTCAGGCCTCTGCGAGCTACCTCTGAGAAGCTGTCCCCAGCCCCCACCCCCCAGGAAACTCCACACATCCATGCTGTGACCGCCCAGTGACCAAGCTCAGTGAAGTACACCCTGCCCATCAGGACCCCACCGAGTGGGGTGGGTCAGTGAGATGAGTCATTTTTGCTACAAGGAGAAAGGACATGGGCCCACCTCACCTTTCATAAGAACAGCCAACTCCCACTGAACTCATTAAACCTCACAAAGGTCCTACGAGATTGGTTACTCCTCCTATCCCTCTTCACAGACGACAGGACTGAGGCAGACAGAGCTAGGGACAGGCAGTGTCGGGACTAAAGCCCAGCCCACCCTGCTGCTCTCATCCTCTCTAGAACCTCTGATGCCTTGGCCACAGGGGGGTAGTTCCCACTAAACGTGGCCCCACCTACCTTCCCGTCCTCGCCGACGCTGTACACCGCGTTCTCGTCGTAGCTGAACTCCACGGAGCAGACCTCCCCGCAGTGGGCTTTCCAGCTCATGGCACATTCGTGCTGCTGCATATCTGAGACAAGGAGACGCCGCTAGGATTCCCCCCCAGGCCCAGGAGGCACCAGCCCATGGCCAGAGGCACCTCTCTCCCCCGGCCCAGTGGGTGGGGGCTGCTCTGGAGGCAGAGGGCCCCCTGGACCCGACAGGAGTCACAGAGCTGACCCACAGTGAAGAGGGGTCGCTGGGTGTTCAGTCCTCTCTTGCACTGTGCCTAGTCTTCTGTTAACCTATCTTAAATGAAAGCTTCTTTCACTGGGTCAGAAGTGAGGTTCAGGAATCCCTGGGCGGAGCCTGAGCTCATCTGGGGAGCCTGTAAGTCTAGGAGAACATAAAGTCCTTCCTGGGGGGCCTCTGTATTTTCCCACCAGTTAGCTCTGGGTGCCCTAGAGACCTGTTAAAGGCCCAGTTCCCGGTGTCTTCCCAGACCCTCTGACTCCGGTCTCCTGGGACAGGCCTGGCGTAGGGAGCTCTAGCCAACGACTCCGATGCACACCATCCTAATGCTCTCATGGGGACAATGACGTGGCCGCACCAAGAGGACAGGACGGCGTTACTCTCCCGCATCCTCCTGGATCTCATTCAGGCCATGAGGATCAGATCCAACAACTCAAGACTCCACGGCTGCTGAGCCCCGCCCCTTCAGTGGCCACTGACACCGACCATGTGCAAGGTGATTATGAGGGGCAGACTCTGACCAAAGTTAAGTTTGATTATGAGCATCCTGAACTGGGGTTTTGCAGCAGCCTCTAGACCAGCTGGCAAAAACCCAACTCCATTCCCTGGGACATTTAAGGAGGGGTCCGGATGGCCGTGAGTACACTTGCTGACCAAAGAGCCGGATGACGCCGTCCGCTGCCCCCGTGACCAGCAGGTTCCCATTGTGGTTGAAGGCTGTGCAGTTGATGGCAATGGGCTCTGGATCCAAGGAGAACTGGAGCTAGAAAAAGAACCAACTTTAAAATGAATAACAATAATAAGCCAAATTTCAAGACAGGTTCTGTCTGAAAGGGGGAAGAGACCAAGACTGAGGAAGGGCACACCAGAGCATAACAAGTATTGGTGATGCTCTACTTTTAAACTGTGACGGTAAGTAGGTGCTCATTTTATGGCTTATCTTCTCATTATTCCATATACCTATGATCTCAATATTCTTTTCTATGTTTAGTTAAAAAATTTTAAATAACAAGTAAACACTAAATTATAAATCACAAAAGGTCCATTAACAGAAAAAAGCAAGATTAAAAAGGACCGAATCAGACCAGGCGGAAGAAGGGAAGCACCTAGCGGATGCATGACACTAAGTGAAAGAAACCAGTCTGAAAAGGCTGCCTGATTCCAACCACACAATATTCCGGAAAAAGCAAAACTACGGAGGCAGTACAAAGATCCATGGTTGCCAGGGGTGGGGGCCAGGGAGCACACAGAGAGCAGAGGATTTTTAGGGCAGTGAAAACACCTTTTGTGACACCATAATGGTGAGTCCGTGTCACTACACATGTGTCCAAACCCACAGAATGGACAAGCCTCAGACTGAGCCCTGATGTAAACAATGGACTTCGGGCGATGACGACGTGTCAGTGCAGGTGCGTCAGTAACAACAAACGTCCCACTCCGATGGGGATCTGACAGCAGGGGAGGCTGCGCGTGTGTGGGGCCCCGGTATACGGGAAACCTCTGTACCTTCCTCTCAATTTTACTGTGAGCCTAAAACTGCTCCCCACAAAAAGAGAAAATATTCTTTAAAAATTAAAAAAATTTTAAATAAGCCAAAAGGGCCTGCCGGGAGGCTCTGTGTGAATTCTAAGTTTGTGGCACGATTCTGAACGACTTCAGTTGCAATCTGCCCAACCGGAGTATTACTACTTTTCAATACCTAAACTTTGAAATTTCCTCACAAGTCAAAACATGAGGAGCCTGAAGCAAAGAGTGGGAAGAGACCTCCAAAAGAGGGCAGCGCAGGCTGTGATCCCTCCCGGGAGGGTGAGCAGCCCCAGGGAGACCCCGGGCAGGCCCGCACCTGCTGCTTCATGGCTTTCGTGTCCCACAGCAGCAGCCTGCCAGGAACGTAGTTAGCACCCTTGCTGCTGATGTCCGGCGCTGACAAGTCCACCTGGGCAGCGAGGCTCGGAGCTGCGGCGGAGCAGACGAAAGAGGCCCCGCTGGGGCTGCAGGCCAGAGACAGGATTCTGCAACACACGTGGGGCAGGGTCAGCGCTCCGCCACCCACGGCGGGAGGACGAGCTGGGCCCCGAGAGCACAGGGGCGGGGGGCAGCCTCCAGCTCACCTGGCCATATCCCTGGGGGCAGGGGGCAGGGAGCAGGGGGCAGGGGGCGGCCTCTGGCTCACCTTGGCATATCTTCATTGATGTTGATCTCACAGAGATTCTTCTTGGCCTCTGTGTCATACAGGCGCACAGTCCCCACACCACTGCCCAGCAGGAGCTAGAAGGAGACAGGCGGGAGGAGCGAAGGACAGCTAGGGTCAGGCCCGGCCAGAGAGGCCCACTGCAGGGCCAGGCCACCAGTGAGGCCCGCCTCCACTTCTCCAGCTAGTTCAAAGGTGATCCGGCTAAACTGGACATCATTTAAAAATTAAGGACATCAGAGATGACCTTGAGCAGAAGTAAAACCACAAAAGGAATCTGGAATGGGAGAGAAGGATCACCTTAGGTACAGCTGGAGACCAGGCCCTCTGCCTGCCCCTCCGTGTCTTCCAGTTTAAATCCCAGCTGTCCTCCTCCTGCCCTCTCACTCCTGATCCACCACCACACAGCCCTGGGCACTGGCCCCCGGCTGGACAACTCTGGCTCTGGGCCTATAAAGGCCTCCAGGAAAAACAGAGGAGGCTCTCCTTGCCTTCAGGAGCTTGTGATTTATTTGGTGAAAACTTCAAAGACAATTAACGAGGACTACCAGAAGAAAATACCAAAAGTAGGTCTGAGGGCTCCCCCCCTGGAGTATTACCTAGAATATGGCCTCAGCATTCACTTGACAAATTGACACTGGTATAGGGTAAGCCCCGAGATCCTCGTACATATGGATAATTCCTGCAGTTCTCAGAAATTATTTTTAAAAAATGGGGTCGGTATAGCTCAGTGGCAGAGTGCATGCTTAGCATGCCTGAGGTCCTGGGTTCAATTCCCAGTACCTCCATTAAAAATAAATAAATACACCTCTCCCCCACCAAAAAAATTAACAAACAAACAAACATAAAAAAGAGTTTAAAAAATTATAAATAAACAAGGTTTGCTCCTTGGGCTGCCAGCTAAGACCCCCTCTAAAATGGAATATAGTGGGGAAAAAACTGTAAATCAACTTTATCTCCTTAACTGCAGATTCTACCTCAAATATTGAAGTCCAGAAGGAAAAGGCACCCTGTGCTAACACCACTGTGTGAGCCCCTTGGGGACCACAGAACAGGACACACCCCCAGCCCAGCATGGGGAGGGGCCTCAGCAGGAGGAGGGAGCAGCTGAGAACATTCATGGTGGTGGTCAGGAACATGCGGGGGTGACAGGAGCTGGTAGGGGAGAAAGCTGGTCTTTCCCCAGGGAAGATGGAAAAGTGAACCAGACCCCCACACATGCAAGAAAGCCTCTGCCATCTGACAGGAGAGCGTCCTCCAGGTCCCACTGCAGTCTCATTCCAATTCTTATTAATCCAGTACCCTCCAACCAGGAGCCTGCTGGGACAGTCCTAGATGTGTGGTCCCTGAATTCCCAGTAAGAGAGAGAGGGAGGGGCTTGACACAGTAGCCTCACCCAAGCCCGTGATGCCGGAGCCGCCGGGGCGAGGCCCGAGGAGTTCTTCACTTAGACCATGAAGCCAGCAATGAGGCAAGACTACTCACCAGCCTGTCCCGCTTGGTGGCCCACTCTAAAGAGAGCAGCGGTGACTTGGAAATGGAGGACGCCTTGGTCTGCATGATGGGATTGAAGGACCACACTTTGATGACCCCGTCCACATCTAAGCTGGCGACCCTCCTCCCCGAGCAGTCCACTCTGAGATGAGAGAAAGAGGGACGCTGTTAGCATCTTGCCTTAGTCCGCCATCCTCTTAGTCCTCAACACCTAGAGGACTGCTTTTCTGATCCTCCTCCTGTTTTAGGAAATAATCCCCAAATGCCTATACTCCGAGGACGGACGTGGACTATTTCTAGAAATACTCACTCACTCATCTGTCTGAGGACTACTTATGAAGCACCTACCGTGTGCTGAGCCCTGCGGTAAGCACAGGGACAGAACAGCGGGCAGATGCACACGGCCCACCCTCAGCACTCACAGCCTCTGGAGACCAACAGCCTCCTGCATCACTTCCCGAGCCATCACGTCCACCAGAGCAAGGGGTCACCGAGCCTCTGGACGTCACACTCCGTGAGGATCAGAGAAAGTAGAGAGCTGACCAGGCCAGAGGCTGCTCTCGGCAGGACCCTCA